CAATTTTAAAAATATTCACTAAAAACAAAAAAATACGAAAACCAAAAAATTCAATTTTCAAAAAACTTAATCCAGAAAATTCAAACCAAACACACTGATTAGAAAAACTACACCACAATGATGTCAGCCAAAGTTAATTACATATAAATGAAATATATTATAAATATTAATAACTAAAAATATAAACTTTAACATGAATTTGTAATAATTTTTGCTGTCCTCATTGACTAGTGATTTCCTCATAATTATGTGTCATGTGACGTCCATCGAATGACATGAGGTGTTACAATATGATGTCAAATTCCGATATTAAAATATGGTCACAAAAATATTACTCATTTTAAAAATTTAACTATCCTTTAAGTAAATCATAATATACTCCATCATCTAATGTTATCTACAATTGAATAACCTATGCAATCTAAGCCTCTATTTGGGAAGTGGGTTGGTTTTTTAGCTTTTTTGAGTATTTTAACCTGGGCTAAAAAGCTTAATTTGGGAAGAGCTTTTTGACTCTTTTTTTTTTTTTTTTTTTTTTTTCCTTCTTTTGCTTTTCAACTTCTTTTTCATTTCATCATTTTTACTTCATCCCGGTGACCGACTCAGATTTTTGGTTTTGCTTAAAGTTCTGTGGTGTTTCTCTCTCGCTCTCTCTTCAAGCTAGGGCTTTGATTTTGCAAAGAAAGTTACCTTTGTTAGATAATGTCTCAATGGGACCACATAATTAAATGTGGTGTTATCATTTTTAAGAAGCCTACAATTTAAGTGATTCAATTTAGTTAATAGGTTTAAGGGTATATGTGTTATGGACCTAATGTGTAGATACTAGTTGTATAATTTCTATTTCTATGAGGGGCAGAAATAGAAATTAAAACATATTGGTTAAAGTTGGTTTTCATTCCTTTTGAACTTCCACAACCTTTCAGTTTTGAAAACCAATTACAACCTTTAAAAGGTTATGGTCCCTATTCCTTCCCAAGTGGAAAAATAAGAACACTGCCATTTTTCTTTCTAAATCCTCTCAAGGAGAAACATAAGGCACCAAAGGGGAAAGGATTAGAAGGCAATAACATAATCAATAACAAAGAGTTCATTGATAATCACGCTTCCGTTTAACCGTTCATCAATGGATTCAGGTATGTCATTTTGTCTTGATTTCTTGATAATACACATGGTAAATGATCCAAAGTGTAAGGTTTATGTTCTGAAATTTATGTTGACACAAAAATCATTCAAACCAACAAATAAATTGAATTATGAACAGTCAACAAAATACATATATCGATCATTTCTGAACCTGTTTAATTAAAGTCAGCAACTATTTTAAGTTTTCATCCACAAGTAATTCCAAACTACATATTTCATCTAGCATAAAAATTTAAAACATAACAAGTACTTATTGTTATGTTCTAAATTTTTATCCATGCGCATCAACCCAAAACTATAACTACTAGTCTACCAAATATTTTCCATGCACACCCATCCAAAAATATAACTACTAGTGTATCCAAAAATATAACTACTAGTCTACCCTAATATTTTCCATATACATCTATACAAAAATATATAATCCTTCCAAAAATACAAAAAAGTGCCAATTTGTCCTGTACAATTTAGCTTTGTGCATGAGTTCATCCATCTGTACCAAAGAAAAAGAGAAATAATGTCAAGTAAAATTGGACAAATAATGAAAAATGTCCATGAAAAGTTAAGGTCACATTAGCAAATTAAATGACTATCATTATCAAATTGAAAATAAAACAACAGCATTCTTATGTCTATAGCATTACCACTTTAGTATTTCATTGTTTAGTTTTTTAAACGGACTTAAATGTAATTCAAAGAAGAACAAGTCAAAAATAATTAAATAAAACAACAGTTCACAATAATATGTAATGGACTACTCAACTAGCAGAAAAGTGTGGAGTGCTAAACTGTAGTGTGGAGTGCTAATTAACCAGAAAAGTGTAGTTTTTTAGTTTTTCCTATAACTGTTGTAGTGTGGAGTGCTAAACTATTGTGGTGTCTGCCTTGCTATGCTTGGTTTGGGTTGGTATTGGTGTAGATGGGCTACTGATAAAAGGAGTAATCAATGGAGTATAATCAACAACCAAATGGAGTATAATCAAAAACCCAAGAAGTACATAGCGAGAGGATAGTAACTAATGCTTCGATTTTCCCATAATCCAAACAGACAACAAAATTAAGAATTCAATTAACTAATGCTATCTACTTGTACTACGCTAAGTTGAGTAAAACATTTTACATTCCCAATTCAAGTAATGCGAAACCTAATAAATTCAAAATTTTCCTTCTCCTTGCTAGATTTTCTAGGAAACCAAATGGAGTATAATCAACAACCCAAAAAGCAGATAGAGTTAAGAATCCAATTAAAAAATCCTGTTTACTTCTAGGTGGTTGCTAAGTTGAGCAGAAACTTTAAAAATCCCAATCCAAGAAATAAGAAGCGCAATAAATTCAAAATTCTTCATTTGAATTTTGATGTTTCTGCTCAACTAATACATTCAACTTGGCCACTGGTTACAATTGAAAAAGGTATCTGTTTAAAAGCTTAAAGAACTGATAGAAGTGTCTCACATGTAAAATAGTTCCAGACTTACATCCATGTAGAGGCAGTGCAATGGCAGAAGGCTTCAGTGCATCAGCATAATCAGCAGGTTGATGGTAGCTTCACCGAGGATGGAAGATTGTGAAGAACCCTAATGCCGATTCAATTCAAGTTATCATAAAGTTAATCACTATGGGATAATGTGCGTAATAAGTGCAGAAAAATACAAGAGGCATCAGTGTATCAAGTACAGATAACTAGCAGTACAGAAAAATATATTTATAAACAAAAGAACCAAAGTGAAGAATAAGAATCAATTTGAACTCTTTACTACTTCCACATTATATGGCATATTGGACAAGTTTGTTTATTCTTATCGGGAAGAGTCAAGACAAAAGATGGTCACATTGCTTTCTTCCATTAGAATCCCCTTAGCCTTCTCGCATAACACCCTAACCTACAACAGAGAGAGAAGATGTCAATGGAGAACCCTTTTCTATTACACTAAAACAGAAAGATATCCATTAAAAGGTGAATACTATAGCATAATAATAACAACAGTTTCATAACATGGATAAGGCAAAGTACAATATATAGATGTCCTGGGTAAGAGTCAAATCTAGGAGCACGGCTTAAATGCGAGCTACATATATAAAGGTTCCTTTTATAATAAATGGTTATTCATTCATCATAACAGAAGAATACTTGAGCTGTCATGGTTCTTCATTCCCCATTTTTCAAACAACATAAAAATGAGAAGAAGAAAGACAAATAGAGAAAGAAAGACATAATGAACAAAAGATGGTTATGGTTTCATCCTGTCAAAGATTTCATGAGTGAAACTTTTGAAATCTTGCTGCAATGTTATCGCAAAAGGCAACATTTTGAGAAGCAGAGCATGCAATTACTGCCTTAACCTTTTGGTATTGGTAATGGAGTGCTTCCCAGGACAAGCATGAGTGAACCACATAAACTAATTCAAAGTCATTTTCCAAACTTCTTAAGAGCTTGCTTCTAGACATCTTGCTCCATGAGATGTGTGGGATGGAGGTCAATTCCATTGGCTACTTTATGCTCTCAAATGAACATGTAAGAGACAATTGCTTG